TTTTTTAAAAACCCCAAAAGGGCTTTTGGTTTTTTTTTTTTTTTTTTTTTTTTTTTTTTTTGAGTTTCTGACTGACAAATCAATGTAGAGGTTAGGTGAAGGTGAAAATCGGCTGATTCTGATCTTGATGGGTCTCCATTAGGATTCAGAGTCTCCGTCGGTCAAACATGCGACATCTTTGGTATTTTCATGGATCCAGCTAAAGAATTTGCATCTTTGAAACTAACTGTGTATTTAGTGCTTGAAGATGCTGATTGATGTGTGGACGGACACGGCATTCATTCATTGAGTTTGATATCTAAGTGGGTCAAAGGTCACCGTTTGAGATGCTGCCAAAGTTCAAACAGAAATGCTGATGAAGACCTCTTCACAGGAAACGGGAAGCTCTGGCTCTTTGGAGGTGCAGCTGTAGGTCTCATGCTTTCATCGGTTTTGCAGATTGGAGTTTTTAAAAGTTTCTTGGTTAAATAAAAAAATCACCACCTCTTTCTTTCCACAAGATGTTTTAGGCAACAAAACAAAAAAAAACGTTTGGAAAAAATGATGTAGGCCATTATTATAGGAAAGTAACAATTTGAGTCTCAACTGCTTCTAAAAACAATTGCGTCGTTGCCCAGCAACTCCAATGGAGTGTTGTTCAACTCCAGAGCAACACAAAAAACACCCAGCCGGTTTTTGGCAATAAGGTAATGGTTTTTGTTGTCTGGAAAATGAACCACTTCCAAAACCGACTGATTAAGTAACTACAAGGGGCACTGTGACGTTGCCTTGCAACTCCAGTGGAGCGCCACCTGTTACCTAGCAACCCAAGCACGTTTTGCTCAGCTGCTTTTATCGCTGTCTGCACTGAATAATGACTGCTGGAAAAGACAAGTGTTTTGTTGTTGACTTATCAACCATCAACCAGAAACCACTTGCCGCATTCTGGTTGGTCGTGCAGGATGCTCCACGTCTGCTTTTCAAAGACATATAGTTGTATAATTGTGCATCTGTTTGCGGCCATTTTCACACAGGAGTGTGAAAAGTTGAGTGGGGTGTATGGCCAGCAGCAGCTTATTTGGATTTAAAGTGACAGAGGCCCTAAAACAGCTCAAAATACAGAGCAGAATAAAATCTTGTCCAAGAATGATTTTGTGGAAAATGCAATCAACATGTTTTGAATCCTAACCTGCTGAAGGAAGCATATTAGGTCACCTTTAAATTAATTTGTTTGAAACTGATTTTTGGATAATAAACCCATAAGAAGGCAGATTCAGAGATAAACTTGGGCAATAAAGTTTGTTCAAAAGATCCAAAAATTTAACCTGAAAACAAAGTTTTGAAACTGAAAAATCAAAAGAATTTAAAAATTATTTTTAAAACTGAATAAAAGTTTTAAACTGAAAAATAAATTGATTCTGAAAAAAAGATTTGAAACTGAAAAAAGTTTTGAAACTAAAAAAGAAAAGAAATTGAAACTGAAAAATTAAACTGGAAAAAGGATGTTAAGCTGAAAAAAAACTGTTCAAAACTAATTTTCAGATTCAAGTTTTTTTTGTTTTTTGTTTTTTTTAGTTTCAAACTCTTTGCCCTCGGCGGCCATTCCTGATACTCCTTTAGTGTCGACCCGTAACTCCAGTCTGCAGCCATCCGTCCAGATGTCCAGAACCAGAACCTCGGAGTGAAACAAGCCTCTCGTTTGTGTCTGTCCTTTGCAGCTGACCTTCACAGAAGCCATGAGGAACAAGGCTCGGCTGTCCATCACCGGCAGCGTCGGGGAGAACGGCCGGGTTCTGACGCCCGACTGCCCCAAGGCCGTCCACACCGGGCCGCCCGTCCGCCAGAGCTCCGGCCTGGCCCTCGTCTCCTCTGAGCTTCCTTGAAAACCAAAAACCTCTCAAGTGCCTTAATGCAACACCAACCGACTGACCGTCCGGAACCACCAGGAGGCAGATTCAGCGGGTCGCTGCCGGGCCGCTGGGAACGAACCATAACTTTTTTTTATTCCAACCGGAGGACAAAAAATATCAGAGAAAAAAACTGCACACTTGAAACTAGTTGGTGTTTTCTGAGCGGACCGCTCTCGGACAGATATCGACGGGAACAAACGCAGATATTTCTATTCATAAAAGCGGCAGTTTAAATCTATTGATACTGAATATATGAGCAAATCTAGAATACTGTGAAGATTAGTAAATATGTATATTCTGAGGAGGAACTCTAGCTGTACATCCCCACGGCTGTGCTTGCTTTTTAAACTCGTGTACATAGCAGACGCTGTAGTGAAGACTCTTTCTTTTCTAAACCATCTCTGGAGATTTTATTCGTCGCAATAACGAAGCGGACGACGACCGATGAACTTTGTGTTTATTCTATTAATATAGGAGCATCCGAACTAAATGTGAAGGGTATCCACTGCCCAAATATTCTGATACCTGTTGCAGTAAAGTTTCTGAAGTATATTCCAGGATGAATGTTACTAGCTCCACCTATAGGCCCGACCCGTGTAGTCTTTGTCACGGAACCATCGGTTCTGGAAGCGCGATCTGAACCGTCAGCTGAAATACGCACGCGCTGAAGAAATACTTCCGTATTATTCTTAAAATGTAGCTCAACAAAGTGTATCATATTCATTTATATTAATTAAAATATTATTTGTTATAAGAGGATGTATTTTCATAAACAATGTTTTAATTATTTTAGTGTGTCATAATTAGTGTGACTGCTGTAGCTTGTAACATTTTAGCTAATATTAGCACTTTAGCTAAATGTAGCTAGTGTATGGGATTTTTCACACTTCTAAGTAAATATGCTATTGACAGCCTACGTGCTATTATTAGGATTTCATCTAGCTTTAGCTTTTCAATTAATTTTAGCTTTTACGTGTTTTTTCACATTGCATGGAATGAATGTTGCAGTAGGCCAATGTGCTAGTCTTTGATAGTTTACATGCCATCAGTAGCATGTAGACTATCACAGTTTGTAAAATGACAAACTACTATTAGTTTGTCATTTTACCTTATAAACTGGTGTGACCTTACAGTTTAGCTTTGAAAGCATCAATTTCTAAAAGCCTCTGGATGTGAGTTTTGCATTCACTTAAAGTTTTCACTCCTTAAATTATTTTTCTAATTGGCCTTCAGCAGACTTTTGCTTTCTTCTGCTGATTCTGCCAATTTCTTACATTTCTGCAAGTCTTCTGCAGTTGACAATAAATGCTTCTGCAATTTTCACCAAAACCACGGAGCTTACAGCATTCACACTGTATTTTCACGGGAAGTGTGTTAAATCTTCTAGTTTAGTTCAAAGATAAGAACAATATGTATCGGACTCATGAGACTGTTAGCTAGTAGCTACTGAAAATGAGTCCTCTGGTGGACAAAAAAGGCCTTTATTTTTACAATAATCAAATATTTTATGAGGTTTATTATTCATTGTCTAGAAAATAAACAACTATCTTACACTTTGTTGATGTACGTTTTAAGAATAATCTGGAAGTATTTCTTCAGCGCATGCGTAGTTGAGCCGTTGGTCCGGATCGTGGTTCTGGAACAGACGGTGCCATGACAGTCCTCACTGTGCAGACGTAGATCCAGAGAGCGGCTCTAGGAACCAACTTCCTGCTCTCTGATTATTTAGTTTTTTCCATTCTTTGATCTATTTTTTTATGCTGAGAACTAAAAAAAAATGACTTGAGTCAGTACTATCAGGGTAGTACTTTACCGCCATCAATGGGACGACGCCATCTCTCCCACTATGTTGTGTGTTGACTGGGATTAGGGCCAGTCTTAGCTGAATCACTGTGGATCCTCTGGGAGGCTCACCATGCTGTAGAAGAGACGTCCAGCTGGACATTCTGCGGGAGGACACGAGACGCCCAGAGGTGCTGTTAGACGTTTCATCATCCGGCCCGTCCTCATACATGTTTACGAAAAGGGAAGAAACCAGCTGCACCGGTCCAGGTCTGCATTCCTGTCCTGCCATCCGTCTCCAGACCGGACGTGTCACATGGGCGTCTTTTGATTTAATTGTACGTCTTTATTTTGATCTTTTTTAAGTAAAGGAAAAAATAATTTCAAATTAAAATGTGGTGTCATTTATTTTTTTAAGTGATTCTGATTTTCAGTGATGGAGACACTGACACTAATAGCGGAGCTAATGGGCTCTTTGCACGTCAGCTTCCGCGTTCGGGGAAAAGCGGCTCGACCGTTTCCGGTCTATTGAAAATGGGCATTTTACTCTAGGTCAGTGGTGCCCAAAGTCGGTCCTCGAGGGCCGACATCCTGCATATTTTAGTTCTCTCCCTGGTTTAGGACACCTGCATCAAATGATGGTTCATTAGAAGGCCTAAGGAGAACACTGACTTGCTGAGGAGATTGTTACTACCACTAGGGAGAGAACTAAAACATAAAAGATACCGGCCCTCCAGGACCGACTTTGGGCACCCCTGCACTCGGTGCTTGCAGGGCTTGGCCAAGGTAACGTGACATCGATCCGAAGCCCCAACATGTAAGCTGGAGAAATGTTTTAAGATTTACACCTCGTTAAACATTCACAGATGAGGGTGAGTTTTATTTTACGACTATCATTAACTTTAGCTTATGCTAGTAGGCAATATTATCAGACATTTGTCTTGTAAAAATGTGCTATTTAAGTAACTAAGCATTTTAATCCATTCTAACAGACGATGTTTTGACCTTATTTTCAACTATGTTCTGTATGTTTATTGTCTTTAGTGTCAGAGACCAAGTAACGGGGTTCGGGCTTTTAGCTTCCGAAGCATGACGAAGCACAACAAGCCTCATAGCTTAAAAGTAGGGCAGCTCTGGTGTCAGAGATCTGGTTCACCTGACTGTTCTGGTTCAAAGTTGTTGCTTTTAGAAAAACTGTGGGCGTGTTTCTTTAGGTCTCCGTGTTATTTCGTTTTATTACTTTTGTATGCTTCTTGCGAAAAGCTCAAATAGGACGGTGTTACAGCAGTGCGTACAGGCGGATATTCAGCTGCCTGGCTGTGGTCTGCTGGTCGTTCCCATACACTCGCTCTTTCAGACTGAATACAGAAGTGGTTCCATGGAAATAACCGAGGAACGGCTTCTTTATTTACCATCCGTCTCTCCCTGGTAGCTTTAGCCTGAAGAAGCTTTCCGGAGTAAAGTGAAGGCTGCAGACTTTGCTGTGCGGCGTTAGCTTTAACTGTTAGAAATGAATATTTACAAGTCACCGTCTTTTTAATTCAGGATCGCTTGGAAATCCATGAAAACTTAAAAGCCCATTATATTTGGAAGACAACATTCAAGGTGTTGCTTTATTTGCGTCTTAAATACGACTTTGTCTTTTCTAGCTGACATGGTAACTCAAAGCGGAAACGAGAAAGCCGCATTTCGCTCATGTGAATGAACTCAGCACTTTGGCACTTTTACTATCAGAAAAATTTTAGTCCATTTAGCTTCCAAGTTAATTTTCCCACATAATTTCTATTGCTTCTACTAGATCCAGTATTAAGTGGATCTAGTTTTTAGCTTTGTGCTTTTGCAAAATCTGAAAACATTTAGCACACTTATCTGAAAAATACCGAATTCCACAACACATCTACATGTTAATGTAGTTAAAGTCAAGTTAGCATAACTGACCTACTTCACTCTGCCTCACCATTTCTTTTTTTTTATTAAAAAGTTTTTCTTGTCTTTAGTTGTCCCAGTGCTGACAATTGGTAGCAAAGAATTATATCCTTTTTTAAATTATATATTATGCATGTATTTAAGACCTAGCTTCTTATGTTGACAACTTGACAGCTAAAACTAACAATAGTGATACGTTGCAAATTGTCTATATTATTTATTATAGTGAAATAAATGAAATTATTTTAATATATTTTAACACTTCAGAGGATGAAGGCTGAAGTCTTTGAAAAGACGTGACTGCCCTCTAGTGGTTGAGTTTTAGACAGGACACAGGTTGAAGTTTTCAGTTTGAAGTTTAATGTTTTCCATGCTGCGTTTCAGAAAGAATACAGATGGTACTTGTGGCTCCGGTGAGAATATCCAGTAGTACAAATCAGATTCACGTTACACATACCCAACAGGAGGAGGAAGAAGAGACAGGATGAGATGAGGGAACCCTGAAGACTCAGCTGGAGTCTCTAATCGTGAGGACTGAAGAGTTTCAAACCGACAGCATGGAGACGACGCGCATCATGAACACACACAGGAACAAAAACAAGTTTCATCTTTAAATAAAGCCTTGCAGATGTGTGGTACAAATACAGGCGAGCGGACTTGGCAACAGATGATGCAGCAAAGAAAGCGAAATAATAATAAAAAAAAAAGTCACAGAGAATGATTAACGGAGACAGAGGAAGGATAGGATGCCCCCCGGTGGACGGGGAGGACCCTCAGGGGACAGACAGGAGACGTGCATGTGAGGGTAGGAGGAAGATGGTGGGCTGAACCCGGCTGGAACCGGAGCTGGTTCTGGGACGAGAAAGAAAAAATAGAGAAGAGGAAGAGGAGGGTTTGTCTTGAGTTGTTCAGTCTCGCTGGGCTTCTTCCTCCGCGTCTTGCGGCGCTTCTTTGTTCTGTTCTTCACCTGAAATGTAGAGGAAAAGAGCGATTAGCAAGGATTCATGAGGCTAACGTGTCAAACTTTTGGAGTGGATCCAGAGTTGGGTGGAAACGTTCCTCCGTCAAATTACGTCAGAGTTTGTCAAGCTCTGTTTACACCAGAACATGCTTGTTTCAGCATCTTCAGTTTTAAAGCTAACAGTTCAGTGAGGAGCAGAGCAACAAAACAAGATTATAAAGTTAAAATAACTGTAGAAGTTTAGTCTGGAGGAAACGCCTACGACAGCGGGAACCTAGTATAACATAGTATAGGTATATACTAACATATATATAGTATAAATGTCCATAATACAGGAATGGATATGCAGATAGACATACCATAACACATACTAACATAGGAGAGCATATATAGTGATAATATAGTATAGGTATACTATACTAGTAGCCATGCTAACATATACCATGGTATATTCTACCATGGCATAAACAGCCATAACATAACGTAGTGTTTACTGATGACATGTCACCTCAAACTGAAGATGCTCAGAGATTCTGATTAGAGCACCTGAAAAAGAGTGAACTGTCCCTTTAAGAAAACACGACCCATTTTCCCCATTAGTGGTGATGGAAAAACTTCACATCAAGCACCCCAGTGAAACAAACAGCATGACTCCTGTTAGCTTCAGAGGCTAACCTGCTGCTGGCAACGTGGCACCATGCTGGGAGGGGCGCTGTTAGAGTGCTGGTGAGGTCAGTAGGAGGGAAAACGCATTGTGAGACAGAAACAGTGGTAGCTTAGGGGAGTTACCATGACGACGACAAATCAACCTGTGTAAGGAAGACAAACAACTGGAATCCATCAGGATTTAAACAGGAAGTGATGAAGGAGCGACCTGTGGGGTCATGTGACAAGGGTCGAATGACAGGGGTCATGTGACCTCACAGTCGTTACCATCATTAATAATAAATGAATCTGAACTCAAAGAGCTGTTTTCACTGGAGAAAAGATCAGAAATTCATGAGAAATGAAGGAAAATATTTAATGTGAATTTATAAAAGCTCAGTTATTGATCATGGATGGATGGACGGGTGGATGAAAATATGGAATATTGTCTGGAAATACGTTTATTTTTTTCAAAAACACTGAAACTTCCCGATGGCCTCTGAACCCAGGAAGTAGTCAGGAAACAGGAAGTAGACAGGAAACAGGAAGCAGACAGGAAACAGGAAGCAGCTCAGAGGTGTGAGGGGGAGGTTAGGGTAGCAGTGAGGGGCGGAGCCAGAGAGGAGGAATGACTTACTAAACACACTGTTCTAACGGAGAGGAGGGGAGGAAGAGGAGGCTCCTCAACAGTCTGAGGAGGATGAGGAGCAGATGAAGAGTTAGTGGAAGGAAGAACTCAGGAGGGAAATGAGAAGGCTGCGGTGCAGAGCGTGGCGTCTCACCGTCTCCCTGAACGTCTGAGGTCCATAGCGTCAAGTTGTCCCGTAGCAACTGCATGATAAGTGTGGAGTCTTTGTAGCTTTCCTCGCTCAGTGTGTCCAGCTCCGCGATGGCGTTATCGAACGCCTCCTTCGCCAACCTGCCAGGGTCAAAATACCAGGTTACACTGCGTCACACCCATCCCGCGCCGCCCCGCGGCTCGGCCGTGTACCTGCAGGCCCGGTCCGGCGAATTCAGGATTTCATAGTAGAAAACGGAGAAGTTGAGTGCCAGGCCGAGGCGGATGGGGTGCGTTGGAGGAAGTTCGATCATGGCGATGTCGCTGGCCGCCTTGTACGCCACCAGGCTGTTCTCCGCCGCCTCCTTCCTGTCGTTGCCCGTGGCGAACTCCGCCAGGTACCGGTGGTAGTCTCCCTTCCTGAACCGGGACAGGCAGCGGGTCAGCAGTGCCACCAGAAACTGATTCATAACTGGTTTTCTGGACTCACGTTCACTGATTTTTGGCGGATTGGAAACCATTTTGTGTGTGTGTGTGTGTGTGTGTGTGTGTGTGTGTGTACGCACATTTTGTAGTAGAAAACCTTGGATTCTCCGGTGGTTGCTGCTAAGATGAGGTGTTTGTCCAGAACATCCAGGATGTCGTTGCAGATTGATTTCAGCTCTTTCTCAACCTGGACAGTAAAAAACACTGATTGGTCAGACCGGCTTCAGGCCAGCTGGGTTAGCCAGCGTTCCCAGTGGTGCGGAGCGGAGCTGACCGTTTTCCGATATTCCCGGATCATCTTCAGCTTGTCCTCGCCGCCCTTGTTCTCCTCCTTCTGCTCCAGGCTGCTGATGATCCTCCAGGACGCTCGCCGCGCGCCGATCACGTTCTTATAGGCGACGGAGAGAAGGTTCCTCTCCTCCACCGTCAGCTCCACGTCCATGCTGGCCACCTTCTTCATCGACTCCACCATTTCTGAGACGCAACACGACAACAAACGGCAGATGCTTTAAAACGCATTTTCATTCAGAAGAAAACCTTCTTTCAGCTGGACGATAAAGTAGAAGTTATCATGATAAACGATAATGTTGTTTTGAGACCATTTTCAAGTAATGGAATAATAATAATTCAAGAACAAATTCTCAGAGATAAATGTTTATTAGAACTTAAAGTTTAATTAACGCTGGAACTGGAAGATATTTTAATAATCATGATAAATAAAATAAAATTAATGATAAAGTCTTCATATAAGCGGCTAGTTGAGACCAAAACTCCAGACGGAAAACTTTTATCATCCAGTTTTTGACACAAAGAGAAAATCGATGATTCATCCAAATGGAAATTAATTTTGACATCATGACATTAACTGATTTATTATTAGGACAGACCTGCATAACATACATTTAGCATTTAGGAGGGCAAAAACAACTTATATTTCTATGATTATGTTCCACCAAAAACTCGTCATGTAGCAGTTTTAGCTTCATCTGGTTCAAAATGTGTAAAATAGACACAAAAAAAATTTAATATTCAGCTGTTTTTAATATTGCAGAAAAAAAATCTTTTATGATTAAATGAAAAATCATCAAAATTTGCAGATTTTTTTTAACAGAGTAATTGTCAGAATAATTGATTATTAGATTAATTATTAGTTGGAGCCCCAGCATGGAATGCATTTCTGTACGTTGGGGTGAAGAGCCTTCCTCTGAGGCAGCAGGAAGCTGATCGATGCTCAGGAGGTCCTGGAAACTGAAGCAACATGATCACATTTACAAACCATATCCGTTACATTCATCTGCAGCCACAAGTCACTTCAGATATATGGATATTGATCATTTTATCAGTATCTGATCTAAAACTGCTGCTGAGGGAAACCCAGGAATCCTCCAATCAGCTGCAGCTGCTCTGAAAAATGTGCAAAATGAAAACGTCTTGTGGGAAAACGTTTCGCCATACTTTGTGTGGGTATTATTATTATTACTATTGTGGATATTAGTGTTTATGTTTCCTAACACCTGGAGATCAGCCGCAGAACCGACCTCTGACCCTTCACTAAAAACTCATCATCATCATCATCATCATCATCATCATCATCATCATCACTGCCAGTTTTACCAGATTAGAGACAAACACAAAACCCGGCTCCTGAAAAGCATTGCCGTTTATAACACCAGTCACATCAGGAAGTGATTTATGTCACTAAACTTCACACTGTTTTCAAATTTATTGGCATTTATTGATGTTCCCATTGAAGAAACAGTGGAGAAAATAGTAAAACTATCAATCATGACAATAAGGACTGGTTTTAGGGGGGTTTTAAACATTGTGACAACAATAAACCAAAATTCTTCCAACAAATTTATCAGGATAGATGATAAACAATAAATGCCAACTAGCACTGGGAACTGGGAACGCCTCGGGATCGAACAGAAAGAGGCGCAGGGCCTCCTGAACATGTTGCCTCAGAGTCAGGACGGACGATTTAGACAACAGGGCAGGAAATGAGGTCAGACAATATCAATGTTTTTTCCAATATTCGTCTGTTTTCACACATTGCTGCAAGAAAACTCTAGAATTGACAACATAAGAGTCAAATGACTTACAGCTACAAAAAGAAGCCCAAATATTAACTAGTAAATTAGTTATTAATTAGTTCATAAATTAGTTATTTTTCTCATTATTTGGACTAAATCAAAATCGGAGTCCGTAAAACCTACAGAAAATTAGGCTGATGGCGAGGAGGCTTTCCAACCTCACCGAAAATAAAACTCTGCTCAGCTAGAAGAACAAGAGCTGTTGTATTCATTTTTGAGGATCGTATTTTTTTTTCTGTTAAAATGTCAAAAAACCTTGTTTTTTGGTTTTTTTTGCTCCAACCCAAAAAAAGAAAAGTTAGTTAATTTCATAAACGAAAGCATGTCTAGATGTCTAGTTTAAATGAAAAACTATTTAATCTTTCATCTTGAAACTTGATTTGGCTCCAATGCTCACTTTGAAAAACAATGTAAACTGAATATATCAGTATCTGATATATTTAGTTTGCATGTAGAATACGTTTGGTTGCTGTTCTAAAGGGTGAAAATATAACTATCCAGTAAAATGTGAACTTTTGAATGATTAAAGTGACGGTTAATGGTCAATTAACTGATAATTATTAATAACAGTAAAAAAGACAAGACTATTCAGGGACACATTCCATCTAGGGGCAATATTTAAAAATTTAAATTAATTATTTTTTGAATTTTTGATTCACAACACTTAACTGGTATTAATTCAAACTGACGCACATGAATCAGGAAAGTTTAGCTTTAAAACACTGAAACTGTTTTAATTTTTTACCCCAAACTAGTGACATTAAATTAATTTCTAATGCTCTGCCTAATTAGTTTAATTAGGGACTGAATTGTTCTGTAAATGTTTGCTAACATGCCCATTCCTCATCTTCACCTGCAGAGAAGAGAACATGAACACCTGAATTAAAGGGCTAGTCATGTGCTTTAAAATCACACAGTTTGTGGAGAAATACGTTAAAATGAACTATTACGGTATTTTAGACACTAAGCGATATTTTATTGCTATGATTGGGGGGGAAGTAAACTGGTTTAAGTTTGAGCTGGAGGACTGAGTAAAGAAAGGCTAACCAGCTAGTTAGCAGCTAACTAGCGCTAGCAGGACGCTAGCTTAGCTGCATTAACATAAACGTTCACCGGTTAGCGAAGCAGAAACCGGGGCTCGCGCTCGTAAACGGACCCCGGTTTCTGTCGGGACTCAGACCGATTTTTATGAGGTGCAGATTTTCCCTTAATAAGGGAGGGAAAGTCTCCGCCATTTTGTGTCCTCTCAGCCCCCAGATCCATGTGAGCTCTTGTACCTGCGGCTCAGAGCCCCCTGCGCTGCGCAGGGAGACAGGCAGGCGGCGGAGCGGGGGCCGCAGCACTCCGCAGTGACCGTTATGATCTGTGTGTGTCCGCAGCCTTACCATCGTATCTCTCCGCTTGCTCGGCCAGTTTTGCTTGGTACACCAGGTTCTCTCTGTCCGCCATGGTGCTCCGGTAGCGGGGAGGGCTGCGTTCAGCGTCCCGGTGGGGAAACAGGGGACGATAATCGGGCTGCTCGGAGAGTCCTGGCGGTGGATCAGCAACAGCTCTGTCGCTCCGCTGAGCCGAAGACCCACCGGTGAGCAGAGGCGTGAAGATGGCGCCGCAGCTCCATCCGGGAAATCCACGCAGCAGCAGCAGCAGCATCCACGCCTCCCGCGAAGCTACAAATCCACTAAAATATCTTTTTTACCCTGATTTTATGTAAACAGTTTAAAAATGTATTAAAGTGATTGATTTTATATATATATAACTGCGTGGCTGGTTGGACTTTCTCTGCTATGTTCATGCTGAACTTATATTAAAAAAACGTTTAATTTCTTTAAAATTAAGTATTGTTTGTTTTACAGATGATAAGTTCATTACAGTATCTCTTTGTGACCTTTACCAAACAGATTTAAAAGGGAATGGCAAAAGCAAAGGAGGTGGATTAGCAGTCCTTGTGGGGGAAAAAGAGGTGTAATCCAGGAGGTGAAATTCATCTGTAAAACAGATTTTCCACTGTTAGCAGAAAGTTATCATCCATATTAATTTTCCTGTTTTTTTACTAGCATATGCATTCAGTCACCAGCTGTTACTAGAACTTTCTGTAGCTAACCAACACCCTAATGCATTTGTGACATTATCTTGACATTTTAGTCATGTTTCTCTCTCTGATACACTTGCAGTGTTTCTTTGCCAGCANTTAGCTAGTAGCTACTGAAAATGAGTCCTCTGGTGGACAAAAAAGGCCTTTATTTTTACAATAATCAAATATTTTATGAGGTTTATTATTCATTGTCTAGAAAATAAACAACTATCTTACACTTTGTTGATGTACGTTTTAAGAATAATCTGGAAGTATTTCTTCAGCGCATGCGTAGTTGAGCCGTTGGTCCGGATCGTGGTTCTGGAACAGACGGTGCCATGACAGTCCTCACTGTGCAGACGTAGATCCAGAGAGCGGCTCTAGGAACCAACTTCCTGCTCTCTGATTATTTAGTTTTTTCCATTCTTTGATCTATTTTTTTATGCTGAGAACTAAAAAAAAATGACTTGAGTCAGTACTATCAGGGTAGTACTTTACCGCCATCAATGGGACGACGCCATCTCTCCCACTATGTTGTGTGTTGACTGGGATTAGGGCCAGTCTTAGCTGAATCACTGTGGATCCTCTGGGAGGCTCACCATGCTGTAGAAGAGACGTCCAGCTGGACATTCTGCGGGAGGACACGAGACGCCCAGAGGTGCTGTTAGACGTTTCATCATCCGGCCCGTCCTCATACATGTTTACGAAAAGGGAAGAAACCAGCTGCACCGGTCCAGGTCTGCATTCCTGTCCTGCCATCCGTCTCCAGACCGGACGTGTCACATGGGCGTCTTTTGATTTAATTGTACGTCTTTATTTTGATCTTTTTTAAGTAAAGGAAAAAATAATTTCAAATTAAAATGTGGTGTCATTTATTTTTTTAAGTGATTCTGATTTTCAGTGATGGAGACACTGACACTAATAGCGGAGCTAATGGGCTCTTTGCACGTCAGCTTCCGCGTTCGGGGAAAAGCGGCTCGACCGTTTCCGGTCTATTGAAAATGGGCATTTTACTCTAGGTCAGTGGTGCCCAAAGTCGGTCCTCGAGGGCCGACATCCTGCATATTTTAGTTCTCTCCCTGGTTTAGGACACCTGCATCAAATGATGGTTCATTAGAAGGCCTAAGGAGAACACTGACTTGCTGAGGAGATTGTTACTACCACTAGGGAGAGAACTAAAACATAAAAGATACCGGCCCTCCAGGACCGACTTTGGGCACCCCTGCACTCGGTGCTTGCAGGGCTTGGCCAAGGTAACGTGACATCGATCCGAAGCCCCAACATGTAAGCTGGAGAAATGTTTTAAGATTTACACCTCGTTAAACATTCACAGATGAGGGTGAGTTTTATTTTACGACTATCATTAACTTTAGCTTATGCTAGTAGGCAATATTATCAGACATTTGTCTTGTAAAAATGTGCTATTTAAGTAACTAAGCATTTTAATCCATTCTAACAGACGATGTTTTGACCTTATTTTCAACTATGTTCTGTATGTTTATTGTCTTTAGTGTCAGAGACCAAGTAACGGGGGAGATTACAGTTCGGGCTTTTAGCTTCCGAAGCATGATGAAGCAAAAAAGCTTAAAAGTAGGGCAGCTCTGGTGTCAGAGATCTGGTTCACCTGACTGTTCTGGTTCAAAGTTGTTGCTTTTAGAAAAAATATGGGCGTGTTTCTTTAGGTCTCCGTGTTATTTCGTTTTATTACTTTTGTATGCTTCTTGCGAAAAGCTCAAATAGGACGGTGTTACAGCAGTGCGTACAGGCGGATATTCAGCTGCCTGGCTGTGGTCTGCTGGTCGTTCCCATACACTCGCTCTTTCAGACTGAATACAGAAGTGGTTCCATGGAAATAACCGAGGAACGGCTTCTTTATTTACCATCCGTCTCTCCCTGGTAGCTTTAGCCTGAAGAAGCTTTCCGGAGTAAAGTGAAGGCTGCAGACTTTGCTGTGCGGCGTTAGCTTTAACTGTTAGAAATGAATATTTACAAGTCACCGTCTTTTTAATTCAGGATCGCTTGGAAATCCATGAAAACTTAAAAGCCCATTATATTTGGAAGACAACATTCAAGGTGTTGCTTTATTTGCGTCTTAAATACGACTTTGTCTTTTCTAGCTGACATGGTAACTCAAAGCGGAAACGAGAAAGCCGCATTTCGCTCATGTGAATGAACTCAGCACTTTGGCACTTTTACTATCAGAAAAATTTTAGTCCATTTAGCTTCCAAGTTAATTTTCCCACATAATTTCTATTGCTTCTACTAGATCCAGTATTAAGTGGATCTAGTTTTTAGCTTTGTGCTTTTGCAAAATCTGAAAACATTTAGCACACTTATCTGAAAAATACCGAATTCCACAACACATCTACATGTTAATGTAGTTAAAGTCAAGTTAGCATAACTGACCTACTTCACTCTGCCTCACCATTTCTTTTTTTTTATTAAAAAGTTTTTCTTGTCTTTAGTTGTCCCAGTGCTGACAATTGGTAGCAAAGAATTATATCCTTTTTTAAATTATATATTATGCATGTATTTAAGACCTAGCTTCTTATGTTGACAACTTGACAGCTAAAACTAACAATAGTGATACGTTGCAAATTGTCTATATTATTTATTATAGTGAAATAAATGAAATTATTTTAATATATTTTAACACTTCAGAGGATGAAGGCTGAAGTCTTTGAAAAGACGTGACTGCCCTCTAGTGGTTGAGTTTTAGACAGGACACAGGTTGAAGTTTTCAGTTTGAAGTTTAATGTTTTCCATGCTGCGTTTCAGAAAGAATACAGATGGTACTTGTGGCTCCGGTGAGAATATCCAGTAGTACAAATCAGATTCACGTTACACATACCCAACAGGAGGAGGAAGAAGAGACAGGATGAGATGAGGGAACCCTGAAGACTCAGCTGGAGTCTCTAATCGTGAGGACTGAAGAGTTTCAAACCGACAGCATGGAGACGACGCGCATCATGAACACACACAGGAACAAAAACAAGTTTCATCTTTAAATAAAGCCTTGCAGATGTGTGGTACAAATACAGGCGAGCGGACTTGGCAACAGATGATGCAGCAAAGAAAGCGAAATAATAATAAAAAAAAAAGTCACAGAGAATGATTAACGGAGACAGAGGAAGGATAGGATGCCCCCCGGTGGACGGGGAGGACCCTCAGGGGACAGACAGGAGACGTGCATGTGAGGGTAGGAGGAAGATGGTGGGCTGAACCCGGCTGGAACCGGAGCTGGTTCTGGGACGAGAAAGAAAAAATAGAGAAGAGGAAGAGGAGGGTTTGTCTTGAGTTGTTCAGTCTCGCTGGGCTTCTTCCTCCGCGTCTTGCGGCGCTTCTTTGTTCTGTTCTTCACCTGAAATGTAGAGGAAAAGAGCGATTAGCAAGGATTCATGAGGCTAACGTGTCAAACTTTTGGAGTGGATCCAGAGTTGGGTGGAAACGTTCCTCCGTCAAATTACGTCAGAGTTTGTCAAGCTCTGTTTACACCAGAACATGCTTGTTTCAGCATCTTCAGTTTTAAAGCTAACAGTTCAGTGAGGAGCAGAGCAACAAAACAAGATTATAAAGTTAAAATAACTGTAGAAGTTTAGTCTGGAGGAAACGCCTACGACAGCGGGAACCTAGTATAACATAGTATAGGTATATACTAACATATATATAGTATAAATGTCCATAATACAGGAATGGATATGCAGATAGACATACCATAACACATACTAACATAGGAGAGCATATATAGTGATAATATAGTATAGGTATACTATACTAGTAGCCATGCTAACATATACCATGGTATATTCTACCATGGCATAAACAGCCATAACATAACGTAGTGTTTACTGATGACATGTCACCTCAAACTGAAGATGCTCAGAGATTCTGATTAGAGCACCTGAAAAAGAGTGAACTGTCCCTTTAAGAAAACACGACCCATTTTCCCCATTAGTGGTGATGGAAAAACTTCACATCAAGCACCCCAGTGAAACAAACAGCATGACTCCTGTTAGCTTCAGAGGCTAACCTGCTGCTGGCAACGTGGCACCATGCTGGGAGGGGCGCTGTTAGAGTGCTGGTGAGGTCAGTAGGAGGGAAAACGCATTGTGAGACAGAAACAGTGGTAGCTTAGGGGAGTTACCATGACGACGACAAATCAACCTGTGTAAGGAAGACAAACAACTGGAATCCATCAGGATTTAAACAGGAAGTGATGAAGGAGCGACCTGTGGGGTCATGTGACAAGGGTCGAATGACAGGGGTCATGTGACCTCACAGTCGTTACCATCATTAATAATAAATGAATCTGAACTCAAAGAGCTGTTTTCACTGGAGAAAAGATCAGAAATTCATGAGAAATGAAGGAAAATATTTAATGTGAATTTATAAAAGCTCAGTTATTGATCATGGATGGATGGACGGGTGGATGAAAATATGGAATATTGTCTGGAAATACGTTTATTTTTTTCAAAAACACTGAAACTTCCCGATGGCCTCTGAACCCAGGAAGTAGTCAGGAAACAGGAAGTAGACAGGAAACAGGAAGCAGACAGGAAACAGGAAGCAGCTCAGAGGTGTGAGGGGGAGGTTAGGGTAGCAGTGAGGGGCGGAGCCAGAGAGGAGGAATGACTTACTAAACACACTGTTCTAACGGAGAGGAGGGGAGGAAGAGGAGGCTCCTCAACAGTCTGAGGAGGATGAGGAGCAGATGAAGAGTTAGTGGAAGGAAGAACTCAGGAGGGAAATGAGAAGGCTGCGGTGCAGAGCGTGGCGTCTCACCGTCTCCCTGAACGTCTGAGGTCCATAGCGTCAAGTTGTCCCGTAGCAACTGCATGATAAGTGTGGAGTCTTTGTAGCTTTCCTCGCTCAGTGTGTCCAGCTCCGCGATGGCGTTATCGAACGCCTCCTTCGCCAACCTGCCAGGGTCAAAATACCAGGTTACACTGCGTCACACCCATCCCGCGCCGCCCCGCGGCTCGGCCGTGTACCTGCAGGCCCGGTCCGGCGAATTCAGGATTTCATAGTAGAAAACGGAGAAGTTGAGTGCCAGGCCGAGGCGGATGGGGTGCGTTGGAGGAAGTTCGATCATGGCGATGTCGCTGGCCGCCTTGTACGCCACCAGGCTGTTCTCCGCCGCCTCCTTCCTGTCGTTGCCCGTGGCGAACTCCGCCAGGTACCGGTGGTAGTCTCCCTTCCTGAACCGGGACAGGCAGCGGGTCAGCAGTGCCACCAGAAACTGATTCATAACTGGTTTTCTGGACTCACGTTCACTGATTTTTGGCGGATTGGAAACCATTTTGTGTGTGTGTGTGTGTGTGTGTGTGTGTGTGTACGCACATTTTGTAGTAGAAAACCTTGGATTCTCCGGTGGTTGCTGCTAAGATGAGGTGTTTGTCCAGAACATCCAGGATGTCGTTGCAGATTGATTTCAGCTCTTTCTCAACCTGGACAGTAAAAAACACTGATTGGTCAGACCGGCTTCAGGCCAGCTGGGTTAGCCAGCGTTCCCAGTGGTGCGGAGCGGAGCTGACCGTTTTCCGATATTCCCGGATCATCTTCAGCTTGTCCTCGCCGCCCTTGTTCTCCTCCTTCTGCTCCAGGCTGCTGATGATCCTCCAGGACGCTCGCCGCGCGCCGATCACGTTCTTATAGGCGACGGAGAGAAGGTTCCTCTCCTCCACCGTCAGCTCCACGTCCATGCTGGCCACCTTCTTCATCGACTCCACCATTTCTGAGACGCAACACGACAACAAACGGCAGATGCTTTAAAACGCATTTTCATTCAGAAGAAAACCTTCTTTCAGCTGGACGATAAAGTAGAAGTTATCATGATAAACGATAATGTTGTTTTGAGACCATTTTCAAGTAATGGAATAATAATAATTCAAGAACAAATTCTCAGAGATAAATGTTTATTAGAACTTAAAGTTTAATTAACGCTGGAACTGGAAGATATTTTAATAATCATGATAAATAAAATAAAATTAATGATAAAGTCTTCATATAAGCGGCTAGTTGAGACCAAAACTCCAGACGGAAAACTTTTATCATCCAGTTTTTGACACAAAGAGAAAATCGATGATTCATCCAAATGGAAATTAATTTTGACATCATGACATTAACTGATTTATTATTAGGACAGACCTGCATAACATACATTTAGCATTTAGGAGGGCAAAAACAACTTATATTTCTATGATTATGTTCCACCAAAAACTCGTCATGTAGCAGTTTTAGCTTCATCTGGTTCAAAATGTGTAAAATAGACACAAAAAAAATTTAATATTCAGCTGTTTTTAATATTGCAGAAAAAAAATCTTTTATGATTAAATGAAAAATCATCAAAATTTGCAGATTTTTTTTAACAGAGTAATTGTCAGAATAATTGATTATTAGATTAATTATTAGTTGGAGCCCCAGCATGGAATGCATTTCTGTACGTTGGGGTGAAGAGCCTTCCTCTGAGGCAGCAGGAAGCTGATCGATGCTCAGGAGGTCCTGGAAACTGAAGCAACATGATCACATTTACAAACCATATCCGTTACATTCATCTGCAGCCACAAGTCACTTCAGATATATGGATATTGATCATTTTATCAGTATCTGATCTAAAACTGCTGCTGAGGGAAACCCAGGAATCCTCCAATCAGCTGCAGCTGCTCTGAAAAATGTGCAAAATGAAAACGTCTTGTGGGAAAACGTTTCGCCATACTTTGTGTGGGTATTATTATTATTACTATTGTGGATATTAGTGTTTATGTTTCCTAACACCTGGAGATCAGCCGCAGAACCGACCTCTGACCCTTCACTAAAAACTCATCATCATCATCATCATCATCATCATCATCATCATCATCACTGCCAGTTTTACCAGATTAGAGACAAACACAAAACCCGGCTCCTGAAAAGCATTGCCGTTTATAACACCAGTCACATCAGGAAGTGATTTATGTCACTAAACTTCACACTGTTTTCAAATTTATTGGCATTTATTGATGTTCCCATTGAAGAAACAGTGGAGAAAATAGTAAAACTATCAATCATGACAATAAGGACTGGTTTTAGGGGGGTTTTAAACATTGTGACAACAATAAACCAAAATTCTTCCAACAAATTTATCAGGATAGATGATAAACAATAAATGCCAACTAGCACTGGGAACTGGGAACGCCTCGGGATCGAACAGAAAGAGGCGCAGGGCCTCCTGAACATGTTGCCTCAGAGTCAGGACGGACGATTTAGACAACAGGGCAGGAAATGAGGTCAGACAATATCAATGTTTTTTCCAATATTCGTCTGTTTTCACACATTGCTGCAAGAAAACTCTAGAATTGACAACATAAGAGTCAAATGACTTACAGCTACAAAAAGAAGCCCAAATATTAACTAGTAAATTAGTTATTAATTAGTTCATAAATTAGTTATTTTTCTCATTATTTGGACTAAATCAAAATCGGAGTCCGTAAAACCTACAGAAAATTAGGCTGATGGCGAGGAGGCTTTCCAACCTCACCGAAAATAAAACTCTGCTCAGCTAGAAGAACAAGAGCTGTTGTATTCATTTTTGAGGATCGTATTTTTTTTTCTGTTAAAATGTCAAAAAACCTTGTTTTTTGGTTTTTTTTGCTCCAACCCAAAAAAAGAAAAGTTAGTTAATTTCATAAACGAAAGCATGTCTAGATGTCTAGTTTAAATGAAAAACTATTTAATCTTTCATCTTGAAACTTGATTTGGCTCCAATGCTCACTTTGAAAAACAATGTAAACTGAATATATCAGTATCTGATATATTTAGTTTGCATGTAGAATACGTTTGGTTGCTGTTCTAAAGGGTGAAAATATAACTATCCAGTAAAATGTGAACTTTTGAATGATTAAAGTGACGGTTAATGGTCAATTAACTGATAATTATTAATAACAGTAAAAAAGACAAGACTATTCAGGGACACATTCCATCTAGGGGCAATATTTAAAAATTTAAATTAATTATTTTTTGAATTTTTGATTCACAACACTTAACTGGTATTAATTCAAACTGACGCACATGAATCAGGAAAGTTTAGCTTTAAAACACTGAAACTGTTTTAATTTTTTACCCCAAACTAGTGACATTAAATTAATTTCTAATGCTCTGCCTAATTAGTTTAATTAGGGACTGAATTGTTCTGTAAATGTTTGCTAACATGCCCATTCCTCATCTTCACCTGCAGAGAAGAGAACATGAACACCTGAATTAAAGGGCTAGTCATGTGCTTTAAAATCACACAGTTTGTGGAGAAATACGTTAAAATGAACTATTACGGTATTTTAGACACTAAGCGATATTTTATTGCTATGATTGGGGGGGAAGTAAACTGGTTTAAGTTTGAGCTGGAGGACTGAGTAAAGAAAGGCTAACCAGCTAGTTAGCAGCTAACTAGCGCTAGCAGGACGCTAGCTTAGCTGCATTAACATAAACGTTCACCGGTTAGCGAAGCAGAAACCGGGGCTCGCGCTCGTAAACGGACCCCGGTTTCTGTCGGGACTCAGACCGATTTTTATGAGGTGCAGATTTTCCCTTAATAAGGGAGGGAAAGTCTCCGCCATTTTGTGTCCTCTCAGCCCCCAGATCCATGTGAGCTCTTGTACCTGCGGCTCAGAGCCCCCTGCGCTGCGCAGGGAGACAGGCAGGCGGCGGAGCGGGGGCCGCAGCACTCCGCAGTGACCGTTATGATCTGTGTGTGTCCGCAGCCTTACCATCGTATCTCTCCGCTTGCTCGGCCAGTTTTGCTTGGTACACCAGGTTCTCTCTGTCCGCCATGGTGCTCCGGTAGCGGGGAGGGCTGCGTTCAGCGTCCCGGTGGGGAAACAGGGGACGATAATCGGGCTGCTCGGAGAGTCCTGGCGGTGGATCAGCAACAGCTCTGTCGCTCCGCTGAGCCGAAGACCCACCGGTGAGCAGAGGCGTGAAGATGGCGCCGCAGCTCCATCCGGGAAATCCACGCAGCAGCAGCAGCAGCATCCACGCCTCCCGCGAAGCTACAAATCCACTAAAATATCTTTTTTACCCTGATTTTATGTAAACAGTTTAAAAATGTATTAAAGTGATTGATTTTATATATATATAACTGCGTGGCTGGTTGGACTTTCTCTGCTATGTTCATGCTGAACTTATATTAAAAAAACGTTTAATTTCTTTAAAATTAAGTATTGTTTGTTTTACAGATGATAAGTTCATTACAGTATCTCTTTGTGACCTTTACCAAACAGATTTAAAAGGGAATGGCAAAAGCAAAGGAGGTGGATTAGCAGTCCTTGTGGGGGAAAAAGAGGTGTAATCCAGGAGGTGAAATTCATCTGTAAAACAGATTTTCCACTGTTAGCAGAAAGTTATCATCCATATTAATTTTCCTGTTTTTTTACTAGCATATGCATTCAGTCACCAGCTGTTACTAGAACTTTCTGTAGCTAACCAACACCCTAATGCATTTGTGACATTATCTTGACATTTTAGTCATGTTTCTCTCTCTGATACACTTGCAGTGTTTCTTTGCCAGCAGCTCTAAGAAAAGAGATTCTTTTTAATGCAAATGTCATGGATTCATACATTTCCAACATATCCTCCTGACTACCAGGAAAAAAAATATTGTCCAATCACCATTTTTTTAAAATCCCACATTCTTTGTAAGGTAATAAAAGGTTTTATGCACTTTGTCTCTTCCCATAAAATGTGTTATTACTGACGAACGCAATTTTTATGTATTAGAAAAAGATACGAACAAAAATCCCACCCCTTCATATGTGGCATCATTGAAAAGCCCTAAATGTCCTCTCCAGATACCAAAAGGAATTAATTCAGTAGAATGCAGAGGGTGGGAGATATTCAAGTTTAGAAATGTCCTCTACAGAGGACAAAAAAAAAAAAAAAAATATATATATATATATATATATATAAATATATATAAATATACA